ATCAACATTGTACGTATCTTGTACATAATAAAGAATCTTAATAATATTATAATTGAAATGGTTTTTTGGAGTTCTTGTAGTTGGAAATTAAATCTTTCTAAGCATAAAAAATAAAACGGTTCGACTATTAAACTGATATTTAATCTCTTAATAAAACTTAGAATATTATTTTTTATCCAAATGCACCGACACATTATGTGTTTTGTGCCCACAATTACGGCAGTTCAATCGCTTAAGCACTCGCATTGGACTCGCACGATGATGTCAATTTTTATTTTTACAAAATACATTCTTAAAAAGCAAAAAGGTAAATAGATAAATAAAACAGAACTTGCTTCGTCGCTTCGTTAAGCGAATTGGAAAAAATAGGCGACGAGTCAATTGCTTTGCTTACATCGGAGTTCCTGCGATGCTTCAACGGCAGGAACATTCACCAATATACATTTCTCATTTTTTAACCCTAATTTCTTCGTACATTTTCTGGAGTTAAATTCACTCTGGTCAAGAAGATAAATTCAACTCTGCAAAATTTCATATTTTTCTTTAATTTTATCAAATCATTATTCCAATATAATTTATAAATGCCAAAAATATTAATTCAAACGCGGATAAAAAAATGTTCTCTAATTCATAAAAATAAATTATATAAATCAATTGATTCGCGATATATTTAAAAATAATATTGTATAAAATAAATAAAGCAGTTTTTTAAACAATTTTATTCGACGCCCTTCCTAAAATATATTGAAACCAACGCAGTGAAGCATTCACTCCATGAAAATGATTGCCAAGAAATTAATTATTGAAAAACGGTTCATTTATTTCTGTACCACTTAAATATTTATATATCTTACAATTTATTTCCGATATAACGTCTTTTTTATTATAATGGTAAGAGGTCATGGAATCATCTTCAATAATTTTCCTTTGTGTAACAAGAATAGTCAACACAAAATTCTCGAAAATGTCGATGAAAAATCTTTATATTATTTTAGGCTGCAATTTCACCAAGAACGTTGTCTCTGACTATAAAAGAGCTCATCGAGTTCATAAAAGTTATTGATCATTGTTTGTAGTAAGACGGCATAAAAATCTTCGAAGAATCTGCAGTCGTATTATAGTATATATTATATATAAGTCACTATGCCATTGCAATTCACAATGATGATTTTACCTTTTATATCTGTCTAATAGTACCTTCTTATATGCAAAAGTGAAGTCGAAAATAGAATAATAAAGCTTTTTTACTCGCTTATACTCAATCATTCATTCACAAGTAAATTTCTCTCCCATTTTTCTCTTACGTATTAGAATTATCAGTGCTTAATTTTTAGCCGAAATATCTTTTTCTCTACTCTTTACTCTGTCTCTCTCTCTCTCTCTCTCTCTAACGCACACGCGCGCGTATACATACATACCCGCACACATACGCATATGCCTTCAAAAAATTCTGTTACGTCATTTCGTATGTAATTTTCTTATTTTGGTTTGCCTTTATACAATTCTGACACTGATATGGTCCATTATTTTCTTCGACTTTTGATATTTTTCGGACACGGTAAATGCTTAATACTGATTCGATCGAGAAAGACGAATATCTGAGCCCGTCGCACGCCCTTAAAATCTAACGCCGTAAAGATCACCTGTCGAGTGATCACAACTTACATCGTTGTTTATTCTCATCAAAATTTTTTTTTCGTTTTTCTCTTAATAATAATAATAATATCTTAGTAGCGTTGTAGTCTCATTTATTTCAACGATCGATCAGGGAGTTTCGATATTTTAAAACTTTGTAGAAAGAAAGCAAAAGAGAAAAAAGAACAAATTAACGAAAACATAAATTAATTTCGACATAAAATTAAAATAATATACGTGAGCAAAATCAGCATGAGAAATTAACTATATGTTTCCGTAATATATTTTATAGTGCTCTCAATATTATAAATGTAAACATCACTATTAAATATTTATCCGAGAAGATGAATATTTCAATGTGATGTTACTCATGAATACTTAATGAAAAAGACAAATTATTAACACGCATATTATTCACAACCGCTGTTACGTTTAACACTAAAAATAAAATTAATATACGCATGACAATTTTTTTCTATGAGTAGGTGAGTAATTAAGATAAGTCGATGAGAGTGTTATTATCTAAATCTACTAACATCACTGAGACTCGAGGCATTCGATCATTTCTAATCTTATATCACTGGATCGATAGGAGAAAAAAAATTAAGTTTTCCCTTCATTTTTTACATTTTTTAATTAAATGGACACGACGAATGAAAGCTCAAATTAAGTTCAGTACGTTATAGCCTTATTAATTTATTATTTGGTATGAACGAACCATTTTGTTTCTCGTTATCATATTTTGGACAGTTTGCAAAACCTTCATAGTAATTTTTGGCAGGAAATATAATTCCTTTTTTTTCTTTTTTAGATTTTAATAAAATTAGATTATCGAGATTATCTTATTGTGTTAGGAGGTAATCTTCTCCCAAGTCATTCTTTGAAAAAAATTTAGAAAGCGCATTCATATATCGGAAAACAAAATATTTGGAAACACTAAACTTTATGATTGAATTAAATTAAAAAGAAAATTTACCTCCTAATTCATATTAGAATTAAGAAAATATCAAACGTAGGCAATAATTTTATATATACTTATATGAACATCATTAAAAACAATTGTAATAGAAATATTAACAAAATTAAAAATTATTTTTAATATTACAGAATATGAATCTTAATTTACATTAATCTTAATAGATTAATCTTGCCCACAAGAACGCTATTGTGGAAAATATAATGAGGATCTATTTTTTGCATCATCTGCCATTAACACCACACCTACGTTATTAATCCTTACCTTTGACTAGCCATCACGAACAACGTTATCGCAATTACATTATTCATTTTCGAAAAAACTAGCCATCGATCACGAAACTCCTTCTAACTTTTAAAGAAAAATAATGACAAAACGAGCTCTAAACATGTTTCATTTCCTCTCGAAAATAAAAGAAAATGAATTTTTCATCAACGACTTTACCTCGGTTATCCTTTAATACGTTAATATTTATATAATATATACATTAAATCGATTCCTTTTTCAATGACTCTTTACAATCACGCTTTTTACAAGGATATATAGTTATCATCTATTGTTAATGCAAGATTAACTCGATATCGCCCTCTTGTAATTTTAATTTACATCGCTTTGTTTATTTTTGTTTTATTTTGTTTTTAAATTAAAGTTGTGTTACAGACGAGGGCGACTAAAGGTTATGTTTTGTATAAAATTGCTAAAATTGCTCCGATGGAAAATGGCATATCTACTTATAATTTTTTTCTTGGTTTTATTTTTTTTATTTTTTTTTATTTGATTTTATTTATGTTTTTATTTTTTTAAGAGAGAAAAAACAAAATCCATCGGTTCAAACGCGATAATATATACTTGACGCTTCAGTTTTCTCTTTATTCTTCTTCTTATTATATTATAATCTTGTCACTGCTTATGATTTAAACACACTTAAGAGCGCAACGGCAGCTACACAATCGAACACTTATGGTTTTTCTCACACGCAGAGTTGGAAAATATACATATATTTTTCTGTTTGCAGGTATGTATGTACGTATGCATGCGTGCATATATGAATGTGTGTACATACGTGCATGCAGAGGGTGTGCATGCTCAATATGTTTAAGTGCGCGTGTGTGTATATGCATAACGTGCCGGTGTATATACGTGTGTATTCTAGTTTAATATATGTACATAAAGTTGTAATGAAATATCGATAAGAATAACATTAGCAACAATAGCAGCGGTTGGTGATGGTATTAATTTATTAGCAACAGCAAGAAATGGAAGTAACACCGTTATACACGATGGTAATTTATTTTCTTATTTTGTCCAGTTTTGTCGGGCATGTGCGGTTTCTTTGCCATATTTAACCATGTAACACTATAATAGCGATATATCATGTGATACCTCTTACATTTTATTTTGTTTCGTCATTACATTTTTTGAACGTTTTCTTTACATTGTTCGTGTCTTTTAATCTTTCTTATTCTTATTCTTACTCTCTTTCTTTCTCTCTCTCTCTCTCTCTCTCTCTTTCTTAGTCACTCTCAACATTTCTATCACCTCTCTCGCATGCAGTGAAAAATTAATTGAAACGCGCCTGCAGGTGCCCGTACAAGTAAGAGGTTAAAATTTTCGTTACGTAAGTACGATTAACGAAAAATACGAATTAACCCGAATTCCTTTATTTACAAAAATTAATTAAAAATTTCAGTAATATTTATCGTGCTTCATTTAAAAAATGCATTATAGTATAAATAATTATGCATTTTATAAGATGCACACTCGTATTTAGACTCAACAATTTCGAGTAAACGTATACATTTCAATCGGTTGAAAATTAGTTGTAAAAAATATTCAGTCACACACACAACAAAGAAATTTATGAAACATTAGCCACTTACACAGCCACAATAATTTAAACCGGAATTTACACCTCTTGTACGCGCATGGCACCTTTTTTACGCATAGGCTCCCTTATAAAATTAAATTAAATTAAAAAAAAAGAAAAAAAAGAAAAAGAAAAAACAACGGGCCCACGTAAGTTTTACTAATAATACATAAAAACTAGGAAAGCTCAATTAAAGTTTCCCTCGTTTTTTGCCGATTAATGTTTTATACGCAAGGCGTGAATATCCACATGAACATAAGTTTTTCAATGATCATAATAACTATTAATAATAATAACATAATAATCATATAATATAATATAATATAATATAATAATAATAATAATAATAATAATAATAATATGGTAATAATAATAATAATCGCAATAATTACTATATATCATAAATAAGAATTAGTAAAAAGTATGCGTATACCTCGTACCGTGAATAACGAATAACGAGAGAAAAACTTTTCTTAAGAAAGAAAATATAAGAAGAAAGTTGATTAAAGAAATATGAAAAAAGAAAAAGTAAAAATGAAGAATAGATGAGGAAAACTGAATAGCATTGATAGTAATAATACATAATAATCATAAAAAAACGGGTTCCGCGCCCATAAGAAAGTGTGTGTGCGGTGCTATATTATACGACGGGCACGATCCGTCCGAATTAGTCGCACGAGCGCCCAATTATATGTAAATAGTCGCTCTTGGGCGCTTCGTTATTATACCAGTGCAGGGAGCAACGATGATGGCGAGGATGAGGATTATGCGTATGGCGATGGCGTGTGAGTGCGATGAGGCATGTGCGACGGCCTTGATGTGCGGCTCGGGTGCGTTCGGGTGGTCCGTGGCAGGGGATCACTTGTCGGAGCTCTGGCACTGCTCGCCTCCCGACTGATTCATTGTCGCGTAGTCCAACCGATACTGGGCTGCGAACATGACAAAACCAGCCGCGAATTCATACATAGCGCCTTTAACTGCAATAGTCTTTTCTTTGCTCTATGATTACGCGGATTTTATCCCCACTCTAATTTTCTGAATGCAATATATTAAAGAAACTCATTGCCAAATTTATTTAAATGATATGTAATAAGCGATTCTAATAATTACGGTTCTAAGAACTTTCTAATACACATATTAGCCTATATTGTCACTGCACTCTTTTTTTTATTAAATTAAAAAAAAAAAAAAAAAAAAATGAAATTTAAAAAATGTAACTTCTAGGTAGCCGTTAATTAATTATTACATATTGGTCCCTGTCCTTATAAATATAACTATAACTAAACAAGTTATATTTATTATACTATTCGAAGTTTACATTTGTTTCCAAACCAAAATACAAATATTATTATCGCGTATATACATGCAATATGTCTTTGCCCAATTAAACAATTAATCTTTCATTTAATCTTTATCTCTGTCAAGTCAATTGTTACTATTAATATTTATTTTATCTGCAGAAGGGATGTCAAAAACGGATATCTATGTATAAGTAAGTAGGACAGTTTATTAAGCATAACATTTCTTATTATTGTAAAGCTTATCACGTCTTTAGAGTTAGTCAATTCTTAAAAATTATAAGTATAAATATTCATAAATTATTTTCAAATATCAAATTATAAATTCTTGTTCAAATTATGAAAAGAAGTTAGATTATATACTCAAGGTTCATATGATGTCTCCTAATAAAACAAATATCCTTTTACTTCAATTTTACTTCTAACCGGAATATAACCAATCCGATCAAACAATGGCAAGTCTTGTTATATATCTTTATTACAGGATACTGCTGACTGTTTTTCAAGACAGTTTCTAGTTTATTATTCATATATACACTTTTACGTATGTATGGTATTAAATTCTATTAAACATTGTGCGGAAATAGTAATAACCCGAACTTATAATTACATTATTTATATAAATTTAAACGCGATGTTAATAACTCTGCATACTTTAATTATTAAAAATATTTAATTCAAATTATAAATTACATTTAAAAATCAGATTACACACTTGCTGTACTATTTATGTATTTTTTTTTGTTTTCTTTTGTTTTAATACTAGCTTAATGTTTTTATTAAAAAATTATTTTTCAGTTATGAAAATATCTATAGATTCTTAATATAAAATACTATAAAAACAATTATCTAATATAATAAAATGTGTATATGTAGTAAAACTTTTATCAAATATGCAAATATAATGTAATCGATAAAAAAATCAATGTTATAATTTTTTATGCAAACAAGCATCATTCTTTAAAAAATATTATAGCAAAGGCACGATAAATTTTCTGCATGCGTTTCAATTATATACATTACAAAAATTACAACGTTCTCTATAAAATGTATAAAATTTCTCTAATATATGGTCGAATGAGTGAACGTGAGTAACACTAAATTATCTAAAATTTATAAGATAAGAAAGATAAAATGAAGGAACTGCTTTGGTAAACAAGTGAACGTTATGAAAAAATTTAAATAGGTAAACTTGCATATCATATGTCCGAGCTGGGTCAAAGTGATATGCTATATAATGATGAATTGACCAAGACTTGGCGATATAAATTCGATAAATGCTTATAAATCAAATAAATAAACTGTAAATAACATGCAACTATAAAATTTATGATAAAAATATTTGCTGACTTTCTGATTTGAAAAAAACTCATATTATATAAAGTTGGATATAAAATTCTATTCTGTTCTGAAGGTTAATAAGTTATTATCCATGTATTTTCATCTCTTTATATATAAAAATCAATAATTTTTTGTTTATCTTTTATTTTAAAAAATATTATTTTCTAAATTTTAATGAAATTTGCATTTAATCATATGAAACAATTGTTCGTTCGTATTTATCTTTAAAAGCCTTTAGTTAAATAGTTAAATTAGTCGATCGATTCGTTAGTCAGTAAATCGAATAATTCCCACTGTCGCTTCCGAAGTAATAACATCTCTTTGCACATCCCACATAATCATAGTAGTTGGCTCATTTGCTCTCATGATAGCCTACCTCCTCTCGTAATGTCCTCCATCGTCTGCTCCTTGCAGTCCGGCGCCATGTGGTTGTTGCTGCCGCAGTTATAGCACGAAACCTTGGAAGGTGTGGTGTTGACCGGAGCATACGTAACCACGGGAGCGGCCGGCACATAGCTCTGCTGCTGCGTCTGTTGCTGCTGCTGTTGCTGTTGCTGCTGCTGCTGCTGCTGTTGCTGCTGTTGCTGTTGCTGTTGCTGTTGCTGTTGCTGTTGCTGCTGCTGCTGTTGCTGCTGCTGTTGCTGCTGGACTTGGCTGGGCGTGCTCTGGACGGCCGCGGCAGCGGCGGCTGCTGCTACTGCCGCAGCCGGCGGTGGTGGCGTTCCAGTGGCCGTCGCGACTGAGTTGCTACTGCCTGGTGGAGGATGTCCGGGATACTGATACATCATCTCGCCGTTGGGTTGATAGGCTGGAGTAGGATAGCCGGCGGGCGCTGGCCTGGCGTAGGCGTGCGTGAAATTTGAATAAATACCAGTGGTAGGTCGCAGAGCCGGAAAGTGAGCGTGATGCGGCAGGTAGGCCGTCATCGGCGTGTGCCCAGGTGGCGCAGGGAAGCTCATGCACGGCTGAAGGCTCGTAGGCGGGACTTGGGGTGGAGTAACACCGTTCATCATGCCAGACGAATGGTTCTTATGCCGCATCATGTGCGCTTGACTTTTGCGCGCACGATGCCTCTCTTGATTCGATGGTGGTGGAGGTTGTTGTTGCTGTTGCTGCTGTGGAAGGACGGAGTGCGTCGAAGGTATGGAATGGAGGGGTGGTGGTCCACCACCCGGGTGTGGCTGCTGTTGCTGGTCGTTGTTCACGGATCCGTTATCATTGCTAAGCCATGGGACAGCGGGTGGTGTCTCCGGTGGCGAGCGGCTTCCGGTGCTATCGGAACTGCTGCTTTGGGAGCAATGCCTACTATTTTCCGGATCAAGTCGAAGAGCTTGCAACTGCGTCAGACAGTAGACTTGTGGACCGTTACACCTATTCGAAAAAGGAGACAGTTAAACTTTAATCTAGTGAATAATTTTTAAGCATTTTTTAATTGTAAGTTACCGTACATTTTGAATATCGGCTATTTGAAATTTTTTAATAGCTTTAATAATTTTCAACCAAATTGATTTTTTACAGTTTGAATAATCGGAATTGAGGAGTTTTTTTAACTTTCTTATAAATCTTATGTAAATTACTGTTCGGTTTATGTAAAGAATGACCAAAATTTAAATTCAAAATCAATCTATAGAATAAATAGCTTAAATTAATATGTATATAATAATAAGGTTTATGTAGAAATGAAAATTAAATGTATAAACGTTATGTCCATTTTCATACTAACACTAAAATTTTTGTGATCGTTATTCTTTAACTTATTATATTTTACTAAAATAAAACGTTTTTTAATAAACACTGGAGATCTGTTTAAAATAAAGATATAATTTAACTATAATTGTTTCAAAATTAATTTATATGCTTTTAAAATCTATTTAGCATGCAAAAATTAATTTTACTTAGTGGATAATTCATCATTCAAAGCATTAAAAAATATAGCTTATTAAAGTTTCAAAATCTATTTAAAAATATTATTAAAGATATAATAATAAAAACAGAGAATGGCATGGTAGGGTTTGATGCAATAATCGAGTGACTTAAAATTTAATTTTGTAAATTATCAAAATTGATAAATATGAAACGATGAGGATAATGAATTCGTGTGTAGAAATAAGAAAATATATCTCAACTCTAATCATTGGTTTACTTGGCAATTTATGTAGTTATATTTCTCTTTAAATATTTTAGTTCTTTGTCAATAGAAATATATAGATATCTAATATGCTTTTACTAATAAATAATTACTATAATATGAACATTAATATCAAAATATAATATCATTAATATAATATCAACAATTGCTTTTTGTACCAAAAATTCACTTTAATGTTATCGGATATTATTAATCCTACATATAAACAATTATAAGTCTTTAAACTGTTTAAATTAAACTTAATTATCTTTAAATACAAAAAATCTATATTCGACAGAGTTTTTTACAGTTTTCAAACAGAGTTATTAACAACTTATTAGAAACTATAGGTGGTATAATGACCTTAAAAATTTATTTAAATTTTAATTCATTCATAGCAAGAATACAGTAATTGCATAAAACGTGTACCAAATAATGATTACCTTGAAAATCGATTTTGAATTCCAGCCATTGGAACCGTGGTAAGACAGCCATAGCATGCATTTTGGGTAGGATATATAGCGGGTGGCCCCGGAAACATTTGCATATGTGCAGGATCTAGCGGCGGTGGATACCGTCTCATGTTTGCCATCGCTGTGTGATTTTGATGATGATAATTCATCATTCCTTGCTCTGGTATCGTAGCTGGTTTCGCATTTGAATTATCGCTTATAATATTTTCCATTTGCGAAAGCTGAAAATTCATCACAACAGTTAGATATAATTTTTTTTTTAATATAGTATCTATGTATTGCAAGTTCTTTTAAAACTATAAGTAAAATTAAAAATCATATATCCTAAAAGTGATTTAATTGCATTATTAAAGGCTCAAGTCCAAATTTTCGAGTAGAATCATTAGAAAATAAAATATAGTGATTGCAAGTTTATTTGTATATGTCGAAGTAACTACGTTAAAAGAAATATCTGTCACCGTAAGAATTCTAACCATCGTTTCCCTTCTGGTTTAAAACGGCCAAGATAAATATTTCAATAGTGCTTATTTTACTGCTTTTACACACCTCATTATCGATAGATTCATTCGTTGAATGCATATTATTGAGGACATCAAGCTTCTTTTCGGGAGTTTGATTTAAACCATTTGTTGCTTGTGTCTTCATATTATTCAGTACGTTTGATGTCATATCGACTTTCGATATATCTTCATCACTCAGTCTCCTAATCTGTTAATGAAAAATGCCCAACATTACTCGTCTAATTAACCGTTTATCATAATCGCGGTCTATTACATAATCAAAGTGATGAATTTTCACCCGAGAAGGACCCTCTCCGTTGACTTTAACTTTGCATCTAATTTTGGGACTTTTCTTAGCACTATGACCAACCTCGTTGCTAGAACAGTTCTGAAAGTTTCCCTTGAAGTTGGGCATCTCCTTGTTGGCCATCTCGCGAAGCGAGTCACCAGGTACTGAGGACTTCAATCGTGGCGGTGGTGGTGGCTGTTGTTGTTTGGACGACGTCGTTGTCGATGTCGAATCCACGTTATTATGTCTGTTGTAAGACGCAACATTGCTCATAGGAGCGAGTGGCCTAGATGATAAAAGCGGTGGCAATGTTTGATTTTGAGACTGTTGCGATTGCCCTGAAAGATTCCTATTTGTGCCCATTGACGAGAGCGGAGGTAACGACATTGCAGAACTCTGTTGAAACAAATAATAATTATGATAGGTTAAGATTGCAATGCCAACAATTAGAATTTTACTAGCTTACAAAAATCATATTATATTCACTTTTGTAATCGAAATCTTAAGAAAATATAAAATTAATGTTAAATTTCAATCGGAATTTTTAATATTATTGTACGATCTAATAGTATTTATTTATACATTACAAGGCGCAACTGTTTATTTCATAAATAATTCCCAAGTACTTAATGTATGTCGTAGTTTTTAAAATTGATCTTTTTTTGTTTTAAATAATTAATTCATTATAATAATTGAGATAAATGTAAGTTTTTATAAAAACTTAATAGAATAAGATGGAAACTAGAAAGGCCATTAAAATTTATATGCAAAAGTGAATATTATGGAGACAGAATTTAATTTCCAGTAGAAGCGTAAAAATAAAATCGTAATTCTAACCAGAGTCGTGGAACTGGTGATATTCGTCTGACTACTAGATGTCGAAGTTGATGTAGTCATCGTATTTGAGGTTGTCTGGGTGACTTGACAGGAGGTTCGCGGCTGCTGCTGAAGTCCGCTATTAATGCTGTTGCTGCCGTTATTATTGATATTATTGTTGTTATTATTAGGCTTACGGTGCAAGGGACCGGTGGGGGAATTGCTCCTACTATGGGACTGAGACTGTGAGGGCGAGGATTGTCGGCTGACTAAGGGAGAAGTGGGATAAGGTAAAACATCGCTCGGATGATACACAAATTGATTGTGAGCCATCATCAGTTGACCTGGCCAAGGTGGCATGTGATTGACCGAAGGGAAACCAACGTGCACATATTGCGGGTGGCCTGTCCCGTGCATCGCCATTTGCTCGGGACCAGGCATGCAAAGTCCCGGAGGAGGCATACCGAGGCCCGGCGGTACTCCTGTGATCATCGTATTACCCCGCATCGGCATTTCGCCTGAAAATCACAATTCCTAAGTCATAAATCTGAAAATTACTTTTGCACAGATCTTGCTGTTTATAGTTGCAATGGTTATTGTAACAATTTCAATTATTGTATCTATATCAATACTTTATTTAATGTCCGTAAACAATAAATAAGTTATTATAGATATTATATAAATATTAATAATATAAACTTCCAGGCCCTGTTCTTTCAAATAAATTGACAAATTTATCTCTCTTTCTCTCTTGTTACCTAGTCAGATACCCTGCTGGATATTTTGAAAAATATCTATGAAAAATTCGTGCAAAGGAACAGAAAATCATTTCATGATTAAAACGCTTACAAAATACATGTCTCTATTAATTGTAATTACTTTAGTAATTTATATATGGTATGAACTAAGTCTGTAACCCCACATATAAAAACACATTTAATCTAGTTATTTTACATTTTCCATATATTTTTAATTACATTAAATAAATAAAGAATAAATAAATAATTGTTAAAATTCTCATAACAGCCCCCATATTTCTATACTTTTTTTAGCATTTACATTTTTTAATTATCTTGAAAGTTCTACTGTATTTGTATGCTATGTATGAATATTAGTTTTTCGTAATGAGTGATAAGATACTTAAATATTTCTTTGTGTTCCCATATGTTATGAACATTATGCTAATATTTACGCATTCTTAATTCTTTTAATTATATTTTGATGCTCTACAATTAATTATATTATATTCCTCAATAATTAAATGGTGATTTTATATCTAAATAGTCTTGATTTTTGGTCTGGAACTATCATCTGTTTATCATGTAAAATTATCTGTTAAATAATTATTTTCAACGATATTTTCGATATCTTGTAAATATTAATAGTATATTTTTCTGGGGTTCATTTTGTTATTTTTATTCCTGCATTTAAAATATCTATTACGTTTTATAAATGAATTCATGCAATCTACAAAAATATTTAGATTTCTAAAAATTAAGAGATTTCAACTATCATTTTTTTTATTTCTTTTTATTACTATTATACATATATAAAATAACCAACTTTAATAAAAAATATTATTAAATAAGTAAATTTATGTAAAATGTCAGATACCATTACTTTTAATTCATGCAAATTAATTTTGATATTTTTCAATGGTCATGAATACATAAGTTACTTAATTACTCAAAAATTAAATCCATATTCTGTTTTTAAAATGATATTATATTTATAAAACTATTTATATTTATAAAACTAATTATATTTATAAAACGTGTAGTATTGCAATGACTATTATATTCCTCTTTAATTTAACAAAAAATTATTTATAATATCGATTTATAATAAAGATTTTAATTTTCTTGGAATTCAGTAACTTCTTAGTTTTATAATATTTTATGCTAATATAATAATTTATAATATAAAAAATTTCTCATTATAAGAGTTTTACACAGTATGCTAAATTTACCTTGAAATGCTTGCATTGGTGGAGGTGGTACAACACAATTAGAAGAAATTTCTGGATCCATTCTATCATTTTGATTTATGCAAGGTATGCAGCTCTAAATATAGAAATATTATAGATAAATAATAAGATTAATTTAAACGATAACTTAATACATAAAAGATTAAGTTGTGTATTACTTGTGTAGATTTAAAAGGTACAGGTCCGGACTTAGGAATGTTCAAGCGAGTTTCTTCCTTCTGTAATTTAAGAAAGATATTGCCGAACGTGCTTTTCTGCTCATAATTAAAGGCTGGATGATTAAGAGCCATTGTGTAAAGCAGTAATAGCTCTTCCAAAGGTTGATCATCCTGTGTATAATTGGTCCCATTCAGCAAACTACTTATCTCTTGAAAGTCAAAGTTTGACAGACTTTTATACAGGACCACTGCACAGGAGTAATTACAGGAGTGTAGCAGCGCCATGTACAAAGCTAGTATTCGCCTCGTGCGCTTGTCAGTCATGCCGAGATTTGTTAACTCGGTCAAGTCGGAAACATTATTGGCACGGTGCTCTGTGTCACGCAAGACATTATAGTCTCGCTTACCTAAATCCTCCACACAAGTACCCAAATACCGTACTTCAAACGGCAGGCACATGTTTAACAACGTGCACATCACATCTATGCGCTTATAACTGGAATGAAAAAATTCACTTTATTAATTAAATATGATAGATGGGTACAAATATTTTTTATCAATCTTTAAATTTATAAATAATAATATATATAATGTAATAGTTAAATATTATATTTTATATTATAAAAGAATAAAATTTATTATATAAAGAATATTTATTAAATTTGACAAAATATTTTATTGCTAGGATAAACAAACATATAATATCTAAAATAATATCTAAAAAATTATGCCTTATATTTATAAATAAAATCTCAAACAATAAATTATGGTTCTTTATTAATACAATTTTTTGAAATGCCTTTTTGTACTAAGAACATTTTATTTACAGAAAGACATGATAACATATCTCTAGTGATAGCTGACATTTATAAACTGTAACTATTACTTTTCATATATATTTCAGATAAATAATATAGAGCAATAAAATAAATATTATATAGATATTGAAGTTAGTAATTGATTTTAAATTTCTATACTTTGAAATAGTAATTTTTGTTTACAATAATAAATTAAATATGTCTGACAGATTAGTGAAGTACTAATATTTATTATTGATGTGATAGAGAAAAATAACAAATAATATAAGTATTGATAAATGTGTATAGTATAACTTTAATTACTTAGAAACTTGAAGGGAATAAATGTTTTGATTAATGTAACAAGGCCATTATATTCTTACCTAATTATTAATTTGCAATTTAGAAAAGATAGGTTCTTATTGTAGCGTTTATTGTAACGTTATATCTAAATATTTGATAATAATAAAGCTGTATATTACAATTAAGTACATTGTATGTATACTTGGAACAATCAGATTAAATTTACTAATAAATATAATTTATCATCAATATTATGGTGCTATAAGTATATTTAACATAATGCTAACATTTTATGGATAATTATTGCTTGAGATAGGAATGGTTCTAGCGATTGCACAGTAGAATAGGTTATTTGTACAAAGGCATAAAATAGAATTGTTCAAGTTGATATTATACGGATGTTAAAATTTATATGAAAAACTATTTTCTATTTGAGATAGAATTTGGTTGACGATATCAACTCAAAGCTACATTGCACAAAATTGTGATTTATTGCTAACTTCAATATGATGATTGTACATTATATAAATTTTTATAACTTTAATTTATAAGACTATTTCACAATTCCATTATTGAAAGAAAGTATTAGTCATTATATCTTATTCATTTGTGCTGTTAAGCAACACAATCATATGTTAGTTGGTATACAATCGTTAAACCACATGTCTTTCCGCATATTACAGATGCAAAAGATTAAAAAAATTAATTTCAACGCTCAGACTATATTAAACGCAGTGTTCGCGATTACTGCTTATTTGCTGTGCAAAGAAAAACAATTCATTGCTATATCTATTTAAGTCGTTTTTAATTTCCACTGTAATGAATTGAATGCAAATTAATATTGTCAAACTAATCAAATGATAAATAAACGGATGAAATGAAAAGAATAAAAAAATAACATTAAATAATGTTTCACATAAAAACTCTAAGGGTCTATCATCAATTAACTTTACAAATACGCAAAATCCTTACAAAACATGGTCGTGGCCTAACGCCCCATTTACACTGGAGAATAATTCTACATTTAAAATATTTTTCGACTACTAACGTACTTTATACTCGTAAAAGTCGAATCATCGTAGGTAGAAGATCCATCATTCGAGATATTAGATAAAATATCGATGGAATGTTCGGAGATTGATTGATGCAAAAATCACGATTGAAAAGCGTAAATTCTAGGTTTTCAAACGTTTGACCAGCGTATACGGGACGTAAATTGTAACGTAAGAAACACGAGATCCGGAAAAGCGTACAATGCTTAGAAAGCCCATAAAGCAGCATCAAGAGGAAAAAAGACCGATAGATGGAGAAGAAATGATGAGTGGTGACAGAGGGTCGAGAGGGGCAGAAAAGAACAGAAAAGAAAAAGGTATCATCATATTATCGCACGCACGCACATTATATGGTATAATTGAAGGCGCGGATGGAGAAATCTATGGAAGAGTCATAATTCTTTTCCCTTTCCTTGAGCCATCGAAATATTTTTCCCCTCGCGTGTTAAATGCGAGACGCCGTTGTCGTGTGCAACACGATTTCCACCTTTTCTCACTCTCTTCGGCCATCCTTCTCCATCCACTCGCAATGACGTGTTTTCCTCTTTCTTCAACGGCTTTGGTGCATACAGAGCAAGAGAGAGAGAGAGAGAGAGAGAGAGAGAGAGAGAGAGATAGAGTGAGCGGGGGGAGGGGAGGGGGAGTGAGAGGGATTTGGATAGCAGGAGGGAAGGGAAGTATCGGGAGAGAGGATCAGCGCGCGGGCGCAAACAGAAAAAGAAGAGAAACTACAAAGGGTGTGCGAAGACAGCGGACCAGACTCACCTGGACAGATTTCCAAACCATGATACCACGTTCTCCTTACACACCATTGCCAGACAACATTGATACCACTTGGGATTGAAGAGAGGCGCCTGATTGTATTATAAGCGATTCTAGGACTCGCTCGTGTCGTCGGCTTGGTCTTCTTGGTCGTCGTAGTCGTCGTGGTCGTCTTGCTGCTCTCCTCTCACTCTCCTCTCTCGCTCCTGCTTTCGGTGACTCGGGCGCACGCACACATCCGTGGGCGCACCGCACGCACAATGGGCACACGCGCACAGAGGCACAGGGAAACGGGTGCGCAAGAACGCAGACGGCGGCTCCCCTTTGGGAAAAAGCGAAGAACTCGGATTCCTAGGCCCCGTATCCTCGAACCTCGCCCCCAAAGCTAATCGCCAAACCAATCCCGCGCATAAGCACCTACGTACACGCGACACCTAGACGGTCCGCTTCTCGTTGTCGCGATCCGGAGAGCACGGCGGCAGCGGCGGCGACAGCAGCAGCGGCGGCGGTAGCAACGACGACGGTGGCGGCGGCACCGCGAGGAGAATCGATGCGCGGGACGCGGGCAGAAAGAAGCGAGAGTTAGCCAGCTAGCCAGCGAGCGAGTGAAAATGACCAACGACGACTACTCGAGCGAGTGGACCCTCGTACTGGCGTTACGTACGTCGAGGAGTTACGACGACGATCGCTCGCTTGCAGCCCGCGACTCTCGACGTGTACGCGCGTCGCGCGGGCGAATTTTTCTTCCGTCACCTCCTTCGCGCCCCCCCCCCCCCCACCCCTCACCGTTCTCGTCGGCCGTCGCCAAACCGCCACCACCAGCGCCGCCGCCACCTCCTCCTTCGCCTCCTCTTCCTCCTCCTCTTTTTCCTCTTCTTCCTCCTCCACCGCCACTTCCTCGTCTACCTTCGGTTTTGTGCGCGTGTGCGTGCGTAAGTGAGTGCGAGCGTCTGCTGCGTTTACGAGAGAAGAGAGAGAGAAAGAGAAAGACAGAGAGCGCGCGCACGCAACCGTGTATTCAACACGCTGTGTTCTCCGGGGGACTCTACAAGCCCCTTCGGTCTCCTCGGTCACCGCTACCCTGCCCCACCCCTCAATGATGCGGCGCTTCCTTCGCTCCTCGCCACTCAGCGACGCGGTTCGCGATGGCGTCGTCTGATGCGCGCAGTCGATGCTAATATTCGATTTCTGGATTTGAAAGAGGAAGACGCGCAAGGGACAAGACCCAATTTGTATCACGACGAGCTGCCCCGTCCGCCAGACCCGCCCCGCCTCTTCCGGCTGGCGATCGACTCAATTGCGACGGTCAGCGCCTTTGTAATAGCCACGGGACCAAGGACTCCAGCACCAAGAGTTGTCGCAGCTCGACTCCTCGCGAACACGACTCTTAACGTTTAACAAATTTTCTGCGAGTGTTAGATCTTTTCGGCTGCTTAAAATGACGAGGCATTATGCGCATGCGCGAGGCACAAACGCGCCATTCGTGCGATAACTTAAATCCTGCACGATGATAGTAAAATACGCATAAAAAATTAAATGATTTTTTAAACTTAGTTAAGCAAATGCTTGCAAGATTAATAGAAGTTACGCGTGTTAAGCGTTGCAAAAGTTTTTTGTTCTTACCTTGACATGTTCTAACCACGATGACAAGTTGTTTATTAACGATGATTGTTTAATATTAGAATACTTTCACTTTTAAACGCTATTCCATCGTGTATGGATAAATGCATCGTGTAGCAATGACTAAAATACATTGAATCGTACTTGACGACATGCCTCTCTCTCTCTCTCTCTCTCTCTCTCTCTCTCTCTCTCTCTCCTTTATCGGTATATTTTTATTCATACGTTCTTATGTTATAATTTAAAATTTGCTTTAACGTGATGTTTAAATTGAATTGTTCTTACAAAGGAGGCATCACTATTAATAAGTAACGAGAAAATTGTTTTATTTAACATTTTTTAATTAAAACCAAATTTAAACTACATTTTTCTTTTAAAAATATAAAATCTAAACTTTTTCTGAAATACTCGATATAGATAAATCAAAATTGATTTTAAACAATTGTCGTGTATATTTATATATTAATTGAATATTTATGTGCAAAATTATTGTAAAGATATATAATCGCATGGTATTACGTTAAGAATAATTTTCGTATATAGATATGATATGCTCTTAATAAATTGAAATGTCAATTAATTATTAATTTACATAGTAGACAATGAGATTTGGAATTAAATAACTTACCTGAAGTTGGTTTTCAAGTAAATCGATATATTGTAGCTATGTATGTAAAGTACGTGATTTTTTTTATGTATTGTTTTATCTGCGAAATTTCTAGGAAATATACAACAAATATTTAAATCTAATATTTTCATGTAAATAGTATGTTCTTTCCATTAGAATTAGGAAATTGCAAGTTCTTGGATATAATAATAATGTTGATTTTTAATATATAATAAATAATAGATTTATATCATTTAATATATAATAAATAATAGATATATATCATTTAATATATAATAAACAATAAATAATAATGATATAATAATATATGTTGATTTTTAATCAATATTATTTTTAGCTTATTATGTTAGATCATTTTAACGCTTATGTCATTACATGACGAAATAACAGATTTTAAGATTTTTATGTAGGTGTATAATTATATTTATATATTATATAATTTAATTTATATAATATAATAATAAAAATATTATTTAATATTTTTATATATTTTTATATATATTACGTTTGTTATTTAAAAATTTGTTCATTTCTGTAAAAAAAAAAAACTTTATGAACGTATATAAAAATTAACTAAACATTGCACATCCTTTTTCAAATATATCACGAACACAAATTCTCGTCATATTAAAGTCTAGTTATTTTTTTTTTTATTTGTCTCGTAATTGAAAAACAGTTTGAAATATGGTGGTGGTACATCACAGATACCGCGATACAAAAAAAAATCATCCAATTTGTCTCAAAAGTAAGAAAAAATGTTCACTTTAAGAATTTTCAACCAAAAGAATAATATATTTTTTATTTCGCAAAATAAAGGAAAAAAATATTTAAAAATATTGAGAAAAAAAACACTCTTATATCATTCGTTCCATTGCAGGAACTCATGAGCTGTTCGCAAAGTCCACCCCCGCCTCTTGTCAGATGCTCGAGCAAGGCCATTGTCAATTCGCATTAGTGGATAGAGCTCGTTCGATGGCTGGCCTTTATTAATGAATAAATTGCCGCACCACATCGACTATTGTACCCAGGTGTATAATTCATGGACCTACAATTCTTAAGGGATTTTCGGTTGATTGCCCTATATTAACTCTAGTAGCGACTGGCTTAATAAGCTGCGTTAATCTAATGAAAAATAGTGACATTAGGATACATAATATTAAGAGCACACCCTCATTATACTCTGACGCACTTATAAGTATAAGAGCGTAACTTATACTCTCGTCGAACATAACTCGTCAACTTGTATTCATATTATAAAAGCAAGAAATGATATTGCCTCGTTTAAAATATGCTTCGTTTCAGGTAAGTCATAACAGATTCATCAACAACACTGCGAATTCATTTAGACTTGAATGCCGAAGATATGTTGAATTATTTTGTTATTTTAACAAGACATTTTTATAAAGAGACACAAGAAATCTTTATAACGAGAAATTTATTTAAATATTATGTGTTTACATGTTATTATACGTATATGTAATGATGTATTCATAAAAATATATATATATATATATATATATATATATATATGAGTAATGTAGAGTTTCCATATATAATGTTTTATAAATTAATTATCGTTATTGAAAATGTCCCTACTTTACATCAACGATTTTTTTTTTTTATATATATAACACTATTGCATGCTCTCGTTTATTACTTACTTTCGCTCTTTACTCGTAACTTTCCATGTTTGGATGAGCACGAGAAATAAGCGTTGACAATAGAATGAGTAGTTGATATTCGTTTATGAAGGAAAAATTAAAAATTAATTTTACAAAGTATATTTATAATTCAAACAATTGATTTCCTGCAATTATATGAAAGATATTACAAAGTTATGTTGAAACGTTAATTTCAATAATTATTTTTTCATTTGTTTTACTACAACCTAACCCATTTTCATATGTTCATATTAAAACAAAATAGTTCATTTTAGCAATTTTAAATTAAAAATTTTTTGTTTATTAAAATTTATTAGTAAATACTGTGATATATAAATTAATAATTATGTCGAATATTTTATATTACTTGAGTTATATCAATCCTGTGAGTGGTTGTAAGGGGATAGTTTCGGGAACGTCGCATGTAAGAACAGATTTAAATATTGTGAATTTGACTATATAAATTACAAAAGGCAAACAATAATATAATTTAAAATCATATTGATTTGTCATAAATCACATAGTAAATATTAAATTTATTATGTAAACAAATGTTATATTGAATAAAAAATTTTTTAGATATTAGAAGCAATAGGATTTATACCTAAAACAACAGAGCTAATACAGGTTGTTTCTGACTCACAGCAAACATTCAGTAATTATACTATTAAATTAACAACGATTAGTGGAATAACGGCTATGCTGATAGATATATATTTTTTAAAAAGTAAGCTTTTAAATAAAAAGATTTTATTAACTAAATTTAATTATAATTGTTTATTATTATTTATTTTAGAATCTAATAAAATAGCATGTGAAAAATCATTATCCAGTTTCAATATTGCATCACAATATCACTTTTTGAACGCTTTAATAATGTTAGGATTACCAATGTGTAATTTTCCATCAATGGTAGTATACTATAATTTAATAATAATTAAAATATAATATTTAAAAAAATGTAATTTACTTTAAAAAATACATGAAATTTAGTTTTATATATTTTTAGACCTATTTAATTAGGCTCTATATAACAAAAATATATTATGGTATTGAACTCAGTACATTGTTGACATTAAATTTCAATATACAACAAAATATGTCAAATATATATTCTATTAATACATAGAATATTTCGTGTAAAAATTATAAATTTATATGTTAATATATTTTCAGGCTAGTATTTGTATAATATTAGGAAAAATTCTTTACTGTGGAACATATTATTATCATGCTTTTACAGGAGAACTGTTAAATAGTAAAATACCAATCATAGGAAAATATATGTTTATTCTTGGATGGATTATAATGACTATATAAATTGTAAAAATAACTATTTCATAACATTTTTCAATAAATTTTTTAATGTATTTATAATAAATTTACAAATTATGAAATTGTTTAATTTAAGATTATTTTGTAAATACCTATAAATAAAGTATAAACCTGAATTAAATAGACTATAAATAAAAAATTGATATTTAAAATTTTTTTAAATAGTTTATTAATGGAATCGAAATTTTATTAATTTATCGGAAATCTAGTTATTTTTGGTGAAATGTGGAGATAGTCTAGTAAAAGTAAAAATGTATCATATCCATTTTAGATTTAACTAAATTGCAGTCAATGTCTGTATTGTTTAATTTAAATAACATAAATATCACATGATTGATGGAAATAAAGAAAAAAAAATTAATTTCAAACACAATAATGAAAAGTTTCATATATTACGGAAAATCGTATTTGGTATATTTTCAGAAGAAGCAAGAATTAGAGAAACGATATACGAGATAACTAATTAATAGGCTAAAAATAATTTTCAATATTTATGAATCAGTAATATAAAATAATCATTTTTTCTTCAAATATTTAAAACTGAAAAATAAAATTATGTGAAACAATTATTAATACAAATATGAGTTTTTCATATCTGAATATTAATTTGAACGTATAACATTTTTTTCATTAATTTAAAAACTTAATATATTTATATTTTGATTACCTTCATAAAATATTTATTAATACGTTTATAAAGAAAAGAAAAATAAGACGTTAGCTAATATATATTACAATATATAAGCTCAACAGTTCAAATGTTAAATTTATGCTTCATTTGCAGGTTACAATACTATAAGTATTGAACAAATTCAATGGATGCAAGTGTAAATGGTAAATAAAAGAAATGGAATCATACAAGAACGCTATATTACAAGCTGTTTCGAATTTACAAAATCTATCAAACATTTCAGACGTGAGTACTTTGAAATTCCTACTCGCGTAAGTAATAATCAGTAATTTGTAAAAAAAATTAAACTTTGATGTCAAACCAAAAAAATTGGCCATAAGAATACATCAAAATAAACATATTAATAATAATTAATACCTATTACTAAAACGAAAATTAGTAAAGAAAGGTGTATGAATATTTTTAAATAAATTATTCAAACACTTATAATCCTGTTATGATAAAATATTAAACTTTAATCAAAAGAAATTTATGAAAAAATTTACGATATTACATGTTAGATATTAGCACTTTATAATTCAGTCACCCACTAAATATTAAATATTAAAGTATTTTCATTTTTTGCCTAAAACTTTTTGTAGGTATTTAGTAATATGGGGTTAAAACCTAAAAATGTAGCAATAAGCAAAATGCTAAATAATCAACCACTTTGGAAGTTCGCAAGAGCAACAGGTCCATTTATTCAAATAGCAGCAGTTAGTGGAGCAGTAGCCGTTATATTAGGAGCTTATAATGGGCACAGTATGTTATTAAAAATGTCACGCTATATTGAATTTTTTATATAATTTTAAAAAAAGTTTATTAAATATTATAGAGCATTATTCAGAGAATGAGGAAAAACGAAAGCAAGTTTTTAATATTGCCTCGCAATATCATTTTATACATACTTTAGCAATTTTTGGAATACCAATGTGTCGAAAGCCTCACCTGGTAAGATATTTCTATAGCATAATAAAATTAATTGAATACAATATTGTAAAAATAAAAAATGCTTCTACATATTAATTAAATATAAGTTTATATATGCGTAAGTTTAGAATCTAATTATATAAAAGAAAAGGATTATCCTTAGAATAATGACCTGCAGAAGAGCTTTCTTTATTTGAATTACCATTAATTCTAATAAGATATTTGTTATATTTGCATTATCTTAATATGCGTTATTTATATTTAAAAAATGTTAATTATGAATAATATTACACCCAAATATTAAATTGTTTCAGGCTGGTTTATTTATGATATTAGGAAAAATATTATTCTGTGGACCCAACTACTTTTATGCGATAACAGGCTGTTCTAAATATAATATGCTAAATCCAATTGGAGGAATATGCTTCATACTCGGATGGCTCTCATTATTATTGTAAAGATTAAAGATTTAATATATTTTTGAAATCATTATAAACAATTAATATCAAATATATTTACAATATTTTCTTTTTTATTACAACATTAAAAACTAAAGTAATGTTAAAATAAATAAATTTTTCATTTATTTGTTTATATTTTCTGTAAAAAAAAATTTGTCAACATTTAAAAATATATTTGTTCATGTTTAATATTAACAAACTACTAGCTTTATATGTATGATATATATAATTATTATAAAAATTTTTATTGTTATAATTCAATTACTAAATAGTATAAAACAAGTATTTTATATTACTAATGTTTCACTTAAAATAAATTAAATATATTTTTATTCAAAATTTTGAAATTGCAAATTATATATAATATAATGCATTTTCTAATAACCTTTATTAGAAAAAAACTTTATTATATAAAAAAATATTTAATTAATATGGATAATTGTTAAAATGAAATGTTTTTGTCTGTATCACGTTGCATGAAATATCAAGCAATTTGTTGAATGATTTTATAAATGTAATTTTAGACTTTAAAACTTAATAGCATGTTCTATTATAATTTATTTTATCATTTACAATAAAGATAATGGGTCATATATCCAAGTACTATTTCAATTTTATATAGCATGTAGTTATGAAAGAACTTGAGCAAAATTTCATTCCAAAGGCTAATTTTAATATTTTATTACATAACTTATGGAATAAGGTATGCATGTGAAATCTATTTTTAGTTATTTCAGTTTTATTATAAATGGTGATAAAAAGTTTGAATGTATGCAGATTTTGTAATATCGATAATAAAATTTATTAATGTTTCCAATATTTAATATGGTTTTAAAAATGATAAAATGTATTAAGGATCTGGATATTTCTAAATTTGAATAAAATTTTAGATAATTGCCAAAATATTTTTTATAGTAACAAAAGTAACTATTGCCAATCTCTATAGTGCACTGCTATTCGTTAAAAAGAACAATTGTTTCAAATATAGTTTATACAGTTTTATTATTGAAATATTGTTTAAGTTTCTACATAAAATTTCAGATAGAAAAATTATACTTACCATAAATTGATTGTAAATTTATTACAATTTCAAGTATACTATATTAATAAATATAATCAATATAATTTCAGTGGTTCCTATCAAATAATTTAATAAAGGATGTGATAAAATTCATTTTAGCAATTTTATATATTAATCTTAAATTAATATTTATAAGCTTTTTGTATTACTGTATTTTATGTAAATTGTTTTTATTAAAGGAATCAAAATAGTAATAAAAAATCCAAGTAAATAAAATGAAACTCATTTATGCTAAAGGATTGATATAAATATAACTTTCGTTTATAATTAATAATTGGGTTTGGATCGTATCCGGAACCAACACGCATTTAATATGATGTAATCTTCGATATTTTCTACTTCAGCTAGAATTTCTTTTTCGTACAATGGTTCGCCTATCACTTGCATCTTTTTCTCTCTTCTCTCAAAAGTGTACATTGTTTCATTATTTGTGTAGTAAGATTCACTTTATCAGAATGTAATAAAAATAATTGTATATCCCTTTTTGTAATGACTATACATACAGTAACATATTTATTAACATTGTAAGTGTAATAAACACTGTCATGCATCATCAGACCATAATTATATCAAGAGTGCGACAGTTCTTTATCTTTAATAGTAAACTCACTTCAAACTTGAAGTATAATACTCTAGTTTGTTTTAACTTTAGTGATAAAAATTCATTTCTAAGTATACATTACATCCTCTATTTGTAACAAAGATTCAACTTTAATATCGATTGATCAAGTATAAACAAAATCTTACTACAATGTACATTAAATAATGGTCTGATGATGCTGGCCGCACCCTTACACAACTAAATAATAATCAAACTATCTAATCTATAATAGAAATATCAAATAATTATAGTGATACATAGAATAAAATTAAAGATAGTTGTGTTGTACTTTAGTTTGTGCACATTGTGTGTGTGCAAGTTTGCCTGTGTATAATGTAAGCAGTATTGCGTGTGTGTTTGTGTGTGTTGTGTGGTTATACGCGCGCGAATGCAGCAACGTCGACCACTTGCAGAGAAATCGGAGATGATGTATACGCAAGAGATTGATTACAAAAAGAGACAAAAATAAAGAGAACAACGAACATGAGACACGATATCATTCACTATCATATAATAATTATATTATGTACGTTTGGGCTTGGTCGTCCTCCCAACCCCTTTTAAACTATGTACTAACTCGATGTAGCACATGCCTTAAATATTCTTTTTCACCACAAAGAACATTTGTTCCTCCATTTCGCTCGATGAGGCAGGAGAGATGAGCGATGATGCAGAGACGCGGGATGCATCGATATAAAACTGTTTTACTTACACCTAACGAACGTCCTCTCTGCCTTACCTTAGCTTACAGTTCAATTAGTATTTGTTTAAATTGAGTGGTACCGATTTTTTTCGTTCACTATTATATAAAGTATTTATATAGACTTGTGTATATCAAACTATGTCGAGATAATATACTTCATATGTACAACTTCTTTTTCTTTTTGTTGCTTTTAATTTCTTTATTTTATTTGCAACACATTCTCTTTCTCGCTTTCACTCTTTTACACGCATTTACGCATACATGCCCACAAGCACGCACATCAAAGGTAAATCATTATTTTATGAGACAGATCACTAAACAGTATTTCTGACTCAAGATCAACATGTTTCCATTTTTAAATATCTCTTACTGTTCATTATTTAGTCGGATAAAATTATTGTATCACAACTCAAATTATTACACGTACAAAAATGAACACTAAATTGGAATTCATTAAAACGAAATATTGACGAGAAATAAAATTAAAGTACGAAGATGTTGATTTGTTTCAAAAGCAAAAAATTCTTGTAAATTCTGTAAAAGATTCATTGTCTCCTATATGATCTCTGCTGTTTTCGTATTTAATCTTTTATTTTATTAGATTGCTTATTACGCTTTTCACTAGGCAGAGCCAGAAGTGAAAAAAAAGAACAAACTGCGATTTGCTTGTCTATTTCTAGGAAAGATGGAACGAATGTTGGCCTTCTTGCGCAGCTATTCTAAGTTTTTCTCTCATAATATCCAAAGTAGAATAATCAGGTAATTTTAAGTAGTTGACACAAGTCATTACTGATGGTAAGAATTCATCAGGTTTCATCGATAAATCAAACGTCTTTCGTACTATTGTTAAAGGTGGCGTTAAACTTTTAAAACCTAAAAACAATAAAATTTTATATTACTTCATGCTTTATTATAATTTCATTCTATAATTAATAGCTTTGAATAAAGTATAAAATTCAAAATTCAAATAAAGAAAACTAATATTTAAAATTTTTATATATTACATTTTTATTATTTTAAATTATGTTTTTAAAAATATGAATTTTTATTACTTTATTAATTATTGTAAATAAAACATGCATAAAAACATACTAAGTGGTTCATAATAATTCATTAAAACTTTAAAGTGATAAATTTGAAAAAACTATTAATATCGATATCCAATATCGCTATTTACATTAATGCAGAATTTAGTTTAAAATAGAAAATATTACATTTTCTTTATTTTATTACCTTAAATATTATTGTATAGCTTATTTCATTAAAACAAAAAATAATTAAGTAAAGACAAGTAGTTGATAAGTGAAATTATAAACTTACCGCCAACGGGTAACCTAGGTGATCCAGTGACAAATTGAATGAATTGTCTTTGTTCTTCGCTACTATACTCGGCAATAACTTCATATAAAAATCTGATCGCTCGTGAATCAGGCGTGTATCCATGATCTGTTCGACAGCATTCGGATAATGTTTTAATATCCCACTTACTACCCGTTTGTGCATGACCACAAAATACTGCTTCTAATTCTTCAGGAAAGAATAGTCGCAATTGTGAAGGTGGAAAAACTGATTCAAAACCTTCTCGAAAAGCTTCCATTTGTCTAAAAACTCCTTCGTAAAGATACCAATGCACCACAAGCTATAATAAAACATACATTAGGACAATAATATAATAAAAAAATTTTTATTTTATAATACAGTAATATATATATTGCCTTAAAATTAGGTCACACCTTTATATATTGATCTAAATTGTGTATCGTAACATTAATGTCACTGCCACCTTTTCTTAATTCAATGTTATCATAACCAGGTAGTTGACAAACAAGCCCAAGATCGATGATTCGACAACCTTCTAAATCTAAAGCCTCGATCATTTGAACTTTTTCGCTAGATCTGAATGTTTGATCTCGTTCAATAGCTTCTTTTCGCCTTACCACATCTTGTAATTTACAAAGGGAGCGAAACACATCTGGATCTACGTAAGCGAGATCTGCTAAGGTAAGTGCATGTTCTTCACCCAATAACCATCGATAAAAAGTTAAACTAAATGGTAGATCCAACTAAAATGGCAATAATGTAATTAATATTTTAAATATATAATTGTTGACACAGATGTAAACGAAAAAAGAAATTCAATTTAAAATTCACCATTCTTGAATCGTAAATAGCTTTAGCCATAAATTTGCCTAAGAATTTAAATTTTGTTTTAAGTTTGGCAAGGTGAGATACTTTTGTATTCCATGGAATCGGCGTAGGAAATAATCCTTGGTTTATATATACATAGCCTTGTTCTGTGGGACTGAAACTACCGTGCCACAATTCTAAATCAGCACGTTGCAATTCACGAGATACCAATGCATAAAACTCTAAAGTAGGTCCAAGGCCAGTTCCCACCTAATTGTAATAATACATTATAAATTACTTATGTTTTTATAATTTAACATTTTATATTTAATTATTTTATTGTTAAAATAAAGAAATAGACATAAAGTTATTCATAAAAATATAAAAAATATTCAAATGATTATGCCATAATATTATCTTTTAACTATTATGATAATATTATCATAATAGCTTCTGTAGCAGCAAATTGAGAATAAATTTAAAAAAATTATAAATACGTTTCCAGTTACATATGTTTTA